CACACACACACACACACACACACACACACACTCACAGTGCTCACTCATACACACACACACACACACACACACACACACACACACACAGAAACACATTGGTACACTGACTTGGCCCAGAGTTTCTTGAATTCCTCTGCCTCCATGGGCATCGTGAACTTGTGAAGTGTGTCTCGGAGCTCCTGTTTGGTGATAATTCCATTGCCTTTGCTGTCCATGGTACGGAAAGCCTGACATAACAGAGAATGTTATGGTGTTACCTGTTCAGCACTGGATTTGCATACACAGTGCATCCTAAGAGCCACATTGTAGTTGTTTTTCACAATGTCACAGTATTCTAATAGTCAATCCCATAACAGGTGATGTAGCCATTAAATTAATTTCATGGTCATTAAAAAAGGAAGAGAGAGCACAGTTCAACATTCTTTGATGATCCACCTTCATTAAATGTTCTTTCTTTGTCATTACGCATTAGAATCAGGCACTCATCAATTTTTGGGCATCTGGGGCTATTGGTATCATCTTAAAGCTTGTTCATTTGGCCATTTTTTGATGAAAAAAAGAAACACCTGCCTTGAATAGAGGCCAAGGTATTTGCAATGAAAGATGTATTTGCGATAAAGGAGGTCAGGTCACCTGGTTTCTGAGGTAAATTTAGCGAGAAAATGGCCTCCAAAGTTTGGTGATTTCCAAAGCTTGAAAGTTTTTGGAAACTGAAAATTTACATATTTTTGCGCCTTTAATCAATGTTTTTCAGTAAAATCCAAAAAAGAAATGTGTGAGCTAAAAAAAAGAATTTTTTGGGTAAATTGTCAAACTGGAAGAAATATGCCGATATCTTCGATTTCATTATCTTGACGAGCGTCTGATTTCACAACAATGCCTCACATATTTGTTCTGTTTTGCTTTCAAAGAGGAGTTTGACACTTTCCCAGCCTTGCAATAGTAAAGGTTAATGAAAATGTTATCTCTTAAAATGCAAAACCCCACTCACAATCTAAAAACTGATCTTTGTGTCCAAAATGTCTAGGTAAATAAGGGAGCAGTATTAGCCATCATAATAATATTGTCTACAGTGCTACAGGTAAAAAATGCTAAAAGTAACACTACCTTTGACAGATCTTTCCATTGTCTGTAGGCCTTGAGACCAAGCAAGTTGTGTGCCTCCTCTGCACTTAGGGGTTTGGGGGGGAACGTCTCATTGTACCTGAGGATTTTGACAAAGACGTATTGTTGTAGATAAATGGTTTTGAAACATCACTCAAGGTCTTATCACCTTGAACATCTTTTGCTTTACAATGTTTTGTTTTATAAATACAAATACATACATAACTACAGATCATAAAGAAAATCAACAATAAAATAAGCAACCGGTTTGATTACTAAGACTTTGAATACTAAGACACAGATAGATGCCAATTATAGAGAAAAAAAAATAGTCGTAGAACCAAGAAATACAATATAATTGAATACCACTGTTTTTACCGATATCAGTAAAGGTATATAAAAGGTATGTCACAAATTTACAGGCAACATTTGTCATCTATGCGTATACCATGAATAAGTGTTAAATCCCTAAAAAGTTGTTTCTGTACTTGTATTGTTCCCAGAGCATCAGTGACTGACCACAAAAATACAGTACTAAACAATAACAAGACTTACGTGTGCACTGAGTTGAGCCACTTGTGTCCCTCTGCTGTGTCTCGCTGCTCAAATCTCTCCAAGAATTCCAAGTAGCTGATCCTGCATCCTTTGACAATTCCTAATTTCTCACACAGTTTTTCGTACTCATCATCGTTCATGTTGATCATGAAAGCATCAAGCATTCTTCGGAAGCTGGATTTGTTTAAGCAGCCTCGGTGCAGGTCATCAAATTTGTAGAAAGCCCCTCTAAGATTCTGAGAAAGAACAAGAGTGGAAGAATACGTTTAATTCTTGTAAGTACTCACTAACGTTAATCTTTGTCATGCTCAAGGGCACATCAGACAGCAGTTTCTTTTTCAATTTTTATGCTAGGACATGATGTTGATTCTGAAGTGGGATTTGAACCCACAACCTTACAGTTAAGTGTCCAGTGGCGTAACCAATAGCCGATAACGGCCATGAAGAAAGAAAATTTTTACAAGATTTTACTTTGGGATATGGTAATGGTTTTATACTATCCTCTACATAAAAGAACAACTCGACCCAAAGCTCACAAAATCTCAATGTGTCATGGTACAGGCTAACTTACGGTAAAATTCTCTCTCAGTTTCTGCCGCAGCTTTGACTCCACTTCTAAAGCAGTCATAGTGCGCTCGTCTCCCCTTATGGGGTTGACTCGATGGTTGTCCATGTGCGACACAATGCCTAGCGACTCTGAGTGCCGAGGGTCGCCAAAGTTCATGATGAAGTCCATGTATTGCATGTGTCCGTTATTGAGGTTCAGGCGGGCCATCAGCTCAGAGTACTGCTCGTCTGACATGAGGATTCCGAGGTCTGACAGGATCTGTACATCAACAACCAAAAGTTGTAGTTGAAGTTTTGATCTAATAATAATGTTTAATTCATGAATAGTGTAATTTGTACGGTATTCAACAGCAAGGTCTATGCACTTTGTGATCTTTATGTGTCATGACATGGTGGAATCAGGCGCTCGTCAATTTCAGGCATATTATGGAGCTATTGGTATCATCTTAAAACCTGTTCATTTACCTTTCTTTTGATGAAAAAAAATATCCATTTATCTTGGATACAAGTCAAGATAATGGCAATTGAAGGAGTTGGGGTCGCCAGTATTCAGAGGTAAAATTAGCAACAAAATGGGCGTCAAGCAGAGTTATTTCCTTAGCTTCAGAGTCTGTAGAAACTGAAAAATTACATCGGTTATTCCTTTAATCAACTTTTTTCAGTAAATTCCATACATATAATATGTGCTCTTTAATGGTCATGAAAGGTGTTGAGCAAAAAAAATTTTTTTTATATTCGATAAAAGTTCTCAAACCTCTGGAAAAATGCCAGTTTCTTGACTTTCAATATTTTGACGAGCGCCTGATTTCACCACTCCGTCTCACACATTATTACCCCTAGACCCTAAAACACACAGAAACATTCTCAGCTTCCTATGAAGCATATTTTCTGGGTAAAAAATGACATGGTTTTCAAAAACACAACCAGTACTTTTTATTGAGAGTCATTACAAAGTCAGACTTGCCACTATCAGTTTGTATAGTGCTGGACTACACTATGGATGGCAGCAGTTCAAATCAGAAGTGGACCATACTGTAGTTTGGAATGTTTGGAGAGTTTTCATGGCTCTCAGGAGAAGAAAATTACATCTAGAGGGCCTGCCTCTTATATAATCATAATTATAAACTACTGATTTTAAAAATCAACAGCGCTGTGCTGATATGTGTTATACAATAATATATTGTTTTGTTCAGCTAGATGACTATCAAACAGAAACACACAACATAGATAGCATTTTTGCCTCTCCTGTTCTTCTTCTTCCTCGTTCTCGATGACAGCAGCCAGACAGTCAGTCTCTCCTGTGAATTTGATCTTTTTGATATAAATTTGTATCATTAACATTTTTCAAACTTTACTCTGAGTAGTCTGAGGTATCATATGCGTTGTGAAGTGGTGGAATCAGGCGCTCGTCAGTTTTTGGGCACGTGGAGTTATTGGTTTCATTAAAAAGCTTGTTCATTTATCTTGCTTTAGATGAAAATAAAAATACCCTTCTATTGTTAAAAGAAGTCGAGATATTAAATGATTGAAGGAGGTTCACCTAATTTCAGAGGTAAACTTAGTGGGGAAAATGGCTTGAAAATTGTAAGTTTACATTTTTTGTTCTTTTAATCAACGTTTTTCAGTAAAACCCATATGGAACTGTGTTTTTACATGGACATTGAAGGTATTAAGCCCCCAAAAAAATTGAAAAAAGCCGAACAGGCAGAAAGATGGATTTTTTTATTTCATTATTTTAATGAGCACCTGATTTCACCACATTGCCTCACATAATATAACTAAGCTGACCAATGCTTTCTAACAGCATCATTTAGCAAGTTAGATCTCATCAATCTCTACGCTAATTTGGTGTGACCTACCGCCCTGAACTGTGCTTTAGTGATGCGTCCTTTGTTCTTTTTATCATACGTGAGGAAAGCCTTGCGCAGAGCTGGGGACAGCTGGGCCATTTTGTCTTTGAAGCGAGCTATCACTTCGTCAGCGGTCATCTCACTGGTTCTGTAGCACTGGGACATTGCCATCTGGTTGTGTCTGATGGAATTAAGAATAGAAAAATTATTTACAGGAAATTCCTTGTTATCCAGAGATATATTTCAACATCAGAATGTATGCCATATGCTGACAAAATGCTTTTTTATATTCACAGCAGTTTCGAGAGAAAAAAGGCATTTTGTCAGCATATCCATTTTAAAAAAGGCATTCTTCCAAAATTTGAATGCTAAGTAATTCAAAATCTAGGCCTAGTAACAGTTTCACTTTGAATTTTTGACACAAGTAGGGTAACTTTAGCAAATTAAAAAAAAAAAAAATTTGGCGTCAAAAACGAAAAAAAGATATTTTGTCAGCAAACGGCAGGGACCCCCGTACACCGTACACACTTACAGTGTGCTACTTTACACTGAACCTACGCCTCAGCATGCAGTAGTGTAAACCTGGTAGTCAACCTCGAGCTTAGAATGCTCAGGTCCTGTATGCTCAGCTGATAAGATCTTAACAAAAGAATAAGACCACTCTTCTTAGACCATCTTGTTTGGCAATGAAATCAAAACTCTGCCTGGCACAAAATTCAATACGTAGGAAGAGCATAACTTGGTACAGTGGTTAGAACACAGAAGGATGAGCTAAGCAGGGAGGAATGGGCAAAGATCATGCTCAAAATTACATATCCCTCCCAAACATTTCAGCGCAGGTATTTGTAGCCTAAGTGTCATCTACCTTCAGCTGGTTTTCTTTCTTCGACCACTCCCCCTACCTGCCAACCAACTTGAAGAAAAGAAGATGTGTTCAAAATAGTTCATAAGAGGCCACTACTGATGTTATTTGCTCTTATAGTAATATATGGAGTGTGGTAGGGATGTATTCTCATTCAGATCCTAAACTGGGAGTTTTTGAATTAGGGTTGTTCAATGAGCTTTTTCATTGCTTTCCTCCGACCCAGCACTTTCCTGTCTAAGATGGAAATTAAATCAGAGGCTCCCACCTTTACCAATTCACCAAGTCTTTGGTGTGACACTTTGTTCTTAGAAAACAACAACAGAGATGATATCAGCCTTAACACTTTTCCTACTGCGAGCTGTATTTTGCGGACGTGGCCTCGCAGGACTGCGAGCCAAAAAATACGGCTTGAGTGGCTCACTTTATATTTCAATCCCGTAATGAAAAGACATGAAATTCTCGGCCCATCCAGGTTTTAAAAATAGTTGAATAGACTTCCTGTTAGCAAAATAAGAAAGAAATATAGCACTGAGAGACGATTTTTAGTCATTCCAGCGCTTTTTTTGTCCTCTTCGAAACGTAAAAATGAAAAGAAAAGCGCTTCCCTGACTTCAGTATATACCTCATATTTTCACTTCTATAGTACGTACACATACATAACTTTCAGCTTTTCTGTGCATTACTTGAGACAACCTACCTGGAAAGTTGGAATGATGCTGTGGTTGTACATTTTTAGATATGACCTTTCAAAGCCGGAAAATTGTGGATTTCGTATGACACCTTCAATATTGCATAATCACTTTTAGAGACCCCAAACTAATATAATTGGAACAAATCTTCAATATTGTATCGCCATCTGATGGATTATTTTTTAACCTTCAGTTTGATGGGCCATATGATAAGGTTTGTGTGTGTTTAGTTGGATCTTTTGATATTTTCCTTTGGTGGGGTAGGGGCTTAAAAATAGGTAAGGGAAAAGCCCTGGGCCAGCGGTGGATTTTAGCCTGATAGGAAAAGAGTTAAAACATGGCTCACCTGTTCATCAAGTCCACTTGTCTCTTCATCTCCGCCTGTCCACTGCCGTACATGATCTGGGAGCTGAGCCCCACCACATCTCCGGGTGATACGTCCACTCCTAGCCGTTCAATAAACTCCATGTAGTTCACCTTGCCGTCCTGGAAGTCTGCACATCGGCTGATCAAACTGACAGATAAATAAACAAGATCGGTAACATTGATGTATTAAAAGATTTCAAGCAGTCAGACAGATTTTATAAACAAGTTCTGTTTAATTGATATGTACAGAGATATCAAGCTAACAAACAAGTAAATAAGTTCTGTCGTATTGATATATGTACAGATCTAAAAACTGAGAGGCAAATAAACAAATTCAGTAATATTGATATATATGCGAAGAGATATCAAGCTGACAGATAAATAAAAGGATCCGACACTTTGATGTATGTACAGATTTCAAGCAAACAGACACACAGGTTTTGTTTAATTGATATATATACACAGATTCCAAACTGATGGACAAATAAACGAGATCTGTGACACTGAATGCACACCTTATGTTAGACCCATGTTTGGTTATCATAACCCTGTTTAGGAAATAAGAATGTAAGAGAAAAAGGTACACAAAACTTACAGTATTCTTTTTTCATTTTCTGTATTATCAATGTCAGTAAATATAATTAGACCACATGCCTATAGCTATTTGTGCTGGCAGTGTATCACTATATCTAATATCAACAGTTTAAAAAAAATGGTGAAACAACTAGCCTCAAAATGTGAAGCCTTTGTTGAAATCCTTCATGACATAATTGCATTCTTCCCCCCAGCCACCAGTCATTGTAACAGAAGAAATGAATTTAAAAAATCCTGAGAACTTCAAACAAATAAACATCCTACTTTTCGAAGTGATTATCTGAAACAGGCAAAACCTGCATATCGATAATCTTTTTCAGTGTTCCTTTGGACATGTAGCCTGTTCCCTTCCTGTCATGATATGTCAACCAGTCTGAGACATCTTTCCAGTAGTAGGTGATTTTCTCCCTCAAGAGCTCTTCCACCTGTCAACGAGATAATCAAGCACTAAATCAAATATGAGTCTATCGGGAGATTCATGATTTCCATTCCAAACATAATTTTCTGGTAGTGGTGTTATTTCAAAGTATTTGCCAAGAGTCATTAAAAAAATCTTTATGTTAATTTTAGCCAAAGGTGGATCTGTATTCCATGAGTGTACCAGCAATAGATTACTGGAGATGTCTCTATCACAAGAAATTGAGGAACTTTGTTTGACCATTTTACAAGGTAAATAATTTTTTTTAATGTATTTTTTTACATAGAGTGATTCATTTTTCATGTGACTGTGAAGAAGACTTGAGAAAGATTTGATCAACTCAATTACACATTATTTTTAAGTAAAACATTGTAGAGCTGAAGCTGAATAAAGAACTAATAGGTGGCTGAAGAGTGCTATAGTGCGACCTGCTTTTACTCCTGTACAGAGTTTCTGTTGCTCTAACATGTTCCACAAGCGTCTGTGGTATAATGGTGAGGCTCTTTGCCTTAAGTACAATGCAAATATTGGGACAATGAACGGAAAAATGTACTTTTTGTGTCAGCCTAAAGAGAAACAAACTTTTCTAATGAAATGTTTGATATATGACTTACAGTTTCCCACGCCACAATGGCTGGTTTTGGCTTGTCGTTATACTTGTGAACAGACTTCAACCACTTGTGGCCCTCCTGCAGGAATAGAAAATACATATCAAACTCATTGGAGTTCTGTTTTGGTAATGGTCTGCATGTCCTGTAACCATGCATGGAAGATACACTTGTTTCTATTTTTTTCCCCACTGTAGTTTACAGAACATCATAGAAGATATAGGACAATAGATATTTTATGAAGTAGGCCCTACAGTACCATTTCTTTTGGTACAGTATCACAACCCTTGCCCTGCTCCCCCCATCCTTACCGTCCTCTTTAATGTACTAACAAATTTTTCAAAGATGACAAGAAAGTAAATGTATCACAATGCGGCCAAATCAGGCGCTCGTCAATTTTTGGGCATGTGGAGTTATTATTGGTATCATCTGAAAGCTGATTTATTTGCCTTGCTTTCAATTAAATAAATATCACAATCTATCTTGAATAAAAATCAAGATATTTGAGAATTAAGGAAGTGAGGTCGCCTGGTTTCAATGGTGAAATTAGCGAGAAAAATGGCCACCAAAGTTTGGTAACTCCAACAGATAAAGAGTCCTTGAAAATAGAAAAATGTTTTTCAGCAAAATTCAAATGGAAACGTTTTTTTTTATATAGATATAAAAGTGGTTGAGCCAAAAAATAAAAATGCGATAAAAATTTCCAAACTGGCAGAAAAATGCTTGTTTCTCTGATTTCTGTAATTTGACGAGCGCCTGATTTCGCCATGCTGCCTCACAAATGCTGAAACACAGCTTTTGGCTTCAACGTCTTGTATCTTGACCAACCCCCACCCCCCTCTAACATTATTACAAATTAGAGGGGACCATCTAACCATACAAATATTAAGGCAAACAAAACTATGCAGTGAGGCCAATAAATACAGTGTTGACCAAAAGGAAAATTTTAAAAAACCCAAAAAAACCCCAACAATTTACAACATCTATTAAACTTACTTGGTAAGCCCGGAATTCTGCATGTTTTTATCTTATTAACTAACCATGAGAATTGCCTCACCTTGGTCTCCTTCTCCTCAAAGAGTCTGAGAAAAGTGTGATAATCCACTCGGCTGTTCTGGTCGGGGTCTACTCGGGACATGAGCTCTTTAAACTGTCTGTCATCCAAACGGAATGTGAATTTTTCTATGAGCTCACGGAACTCCTTCTTGGTCACCCTTCCGTCTCTGTTCTGTGAAACAAAAGGGAAACAGAAATGTCAATGTAATACTATATACAGCCAGATTTAGGTGGGTCTCAATATAATCATGACATACGAATGGCATATTTCATAAAAAGAAGCTTCTACTTCTATACTAACAAAGTTGAATGCAGAGAGATATAGTCTAAATAGTTACTTCTAGTACTTCAATATCTCTTTTTTGTTACCACAGTATACATCCTTGTCCACCCTATGTAAAGCTACTTCTTTAATTACGTTTAACCTAAACATGTTTTAAGACAAAAAGTATCAGATTGGGAAAAAAAGTATAAACATATGTGAAGCAGCGTGGTGGAATCAGGCTCTCGTCAATTTTTGGGCATATGGAGTTATTGGGGTCATCTTAAAGCTTGTTCATTTGTCTTGCTTTCAATGAAAAAATTACCCATCCATCTTCAATAGAAGTATAGATATTTTGAATGAAGGAGGTGGGGGTCACCTGGTTTAAGAGGTAAAATTAGTGAGAAAATGGCCGCCAAAACTTGGTAAATTCCAAAGCTGGAGAGTCCATAGAAACTGTAAATTTATATTTTTGTACCTTCAATCAAAGTTTTCCGTGAAATCCTCAAAGGAATGTGTTTGTAAATGCACATAAAAGGTGTTGAGCCAAAAAACACAAATTTGATAAAAATTTCTAAGCAGGGAGAAAACTGCTGTTTTCTTCGATTTCATTATTTTGACGAGAGCCTGAATCCACCACGCTGCCTCACATATGAAATTGACACCTGTTTTAACACTGTGAGATTATTAAAGAGTTTGGACCTCCAAATTTAGTGTCCATCTCTAATACAATTGAGCCATGTTGCAGAGAACCTTAAAAACTTTGCCTTGATGAAAACTTTTTTTTTTTAAAGTTTAACAATGCCCCATTGCAGATTCAAACTAACACAATCTGCTCAACAGCCTGGCATCATACACTGAACAAATGGACTACCCCTCCCTCAGACTTTTATGGTGAGAAAATATGTTTTACATGTGCAGCTAACTTCACAAAGTAGATTGCCCAACTTACTTTGTCCATTTGCAAAAAGGCTTCCTTCAGACTGTTGTAGTGTGACTGGATTCTCTTGTACAGCTGATTCCATATAGCGTCCCAGTCTACGATCTTTTGAGTCTCCATTATTGGATGTATCCTGGGTGAACAGACCAATGGTGCAATGTAAATACAGAAGGCGTCGCTGTGATTCATTTTGTGATTGGCTATGAACTCTCTTTTAACACAGAAAGGATATTTAGGCAGTGAGAAATGCTATCATGTATTTATGCAGAGAGAAAAAGCATAAATGTCTTAACATGTATCTCTAAAGGCGCCAAACCAACTAGGGTAGAGAGAGGAAAAAAATGTCAAAACCCTAAAACATTCAAACTTCAAGAGAGTCATATAAGGAATTTGAAACAGGGTCTTTGACACCATATCGCAGCATGATACCAACTGACCAAACAGTGTGCCCTTGGCCATTGGAAGCTGCGGAGCCCATATGAGATAACTATGCTTGATTTGGTATGCTTTAGAATGACGTGGCTTTACGGATTTTTAAAACTTGGTGTAAATTTTTTAATTTTGTCCTCAGTGACACTATGAAGCATTAATTGTTCTTACCTGTGGTTGGGTCGGATCGGTAGAGTTTGACCATTGCCAACAGTAACAGGGTTTTGAAATTTTTCTAGAAAAATTTCCCATGCAACTCTGCCACTGGCTTTGACACCGCATCTGCAAAATCAAAACATTGATTGTGAAATCATATGCTCAATTGAAATAGAGGCTTTTCACTAGCCATTTCTCAATATTGTTAACATCACAGATGATTATACTGACTAATCACCTCACATAAAAAGTGCTCAAATGCAACATCAGAAAAAACGAAAAAAAAAAAAATTAACAAAAACAAGTGACCTAAGATATGGTGTGACAAAAAATAGAGTTAGCTCCTTTCAAGCCATATCTTGCCATGAACAAGATACCATTTAGAATTATTTTAATACAATGAGAAAACTAATTTTTTGAACAAACGTCTTTGAGGCACTGCTTTGAAAAATTGACATACATTACATGGGACAAATACCCGTTAGACTTCAGCAACAAAAAAATGATCTTTTTTATTACTTCACCAAACAACATATAAGGTCTTGATAGATTAGCAGACACCAAATATAATAATACGAAAACAATAATTTCTAATAATGTATCAAAGAAATCAAATCATGACCCTCAAAAGGAGAATACTGAGCAAATAAAAAAAAAAAAACATTTTTCACTTCATACAGCAGGGCCCACTTTGCTCTTACTTTTCCATAAGGTGAACAAACAGCTGATCCGACATGGGCAGTGTGAAGCTGTTGAGGATGTTCTTGAGATCATCGATGGACACGTAGCCGTCGAGGTGCTTGTCAAAGGTCATGAAGGCTTTCTTAAGCTTCAAGTAGTTTGTCTTCATCTATCGTGAAAGGAGAAAGCATGAAGGTCAGAATATGAGAAGTTGCCTGCCCCTGCAGGTGGGGGCCCCAATAGTTTTACTATGGGGGAGTAAAGAATACACCTGTCGTGATACTGCGTGTCGTAACGGGTGACTAAAGGTGCATAGGTCCGGTCACCCGAAAAGAGCCAGTTTGCGGAGGGCCAATTGCCCGACCCAGTAAAAACAGAAAGTTATAGAAACATGAACTAGCACGTCTATAATTTTTCTATCTTGGGAGATGGAGGAGCTTCTGTAAGACATGGAGTGACATCGAGCAACTAGCCCAGGATAGGAAAAGGTGGAAAGTGTTGTTTGCGGCCTATATCTTGACTAAGGGTGAGAAAGGAAATGAAGATGATGATGAGAAGTCACCAGGGATAAGAATTATACCCATTGCTCATAACAAGAATTTATTCTAAATTCAAAATTGTCTTGACTCTTTCTCAAGTGCAAACAATAGATTCTATAACTTTTACAAGTCCTTTTATCTTTCATTACTCTATGACACATATTTAACACTTTTTCTCTTTTAATGTTGTCAGCATTATTTGAGCCTAAATGAGTGCTGAAAAGTGGAGCTAACTTGTGGAACCCATTAAAAACTAAAGATAATAACCATGAAAGATACACATTGGAAACAGGTTCTTTATGATCCGGTGAGAAAGGTGAAAGTGCCAAAACTCATCTGTGACCAGTGACAAATTTCTGGATTGTCACTTAAGTTTCCAGTCTATCAGAATATACAACTGTCTTTCGTGTCATCTCAGCCACCATTATCTTTACATGGCTTTCACAGTCCTTACTGTTATTGTTTAACAAGTCACAAAATATCCAAATCAGTTTTCAGCACACAGTTAAAATCAAATATTTCAGACTCTTCTCTCATTTCTCTCTTTAAAACTTATGTACAGCCAGGAAGAGCAATGCAAACCGCAATTTAAGAAGAAATAAATAAATAAATAAATCTTACTCTATTTCTGAATTCAATTTCGATCTGTTCGAAAGTCAAAGACTTGAGAAGTTTCTCATCCTCTTTCTGTTGTGACTTGAGCTGGCTGCTGGCGACTTTACCAGCCGTTGAAGAAGGTGATGACATCTTAGGCCATTTCAAAGCTGAGGAGTTAAACAAAAGCATTTCTGTCTTAGATAATCACTCCAGTTATCCATAGTTAAAAAACTTTTGTTTCACTTCACAATGTTTAATTGCTATACACAATTTACTGAATACAAAGTAGTGAGTATCAATAAAAAAAAAATGGTAGGCCTACCTGCTTAGGGTATATTATGAAAAATAAAATAAAATAAAAGAGTAGGATTATTGGTTATTTGCATCATTCACAAAAACATGCTTTAAAAAAAATAAAAAATTGCCTTCAATGGTAGCTTGATCAGTAAGAAAAAGGCTTTGCTCACTAGCACGAGATGTACCAACTCTCATGGTAAAATATACATGATTGTTTTATTTATTTTCCTCTTCTTTTTTTCCATTAATTTCTCCATCTCTGTGCTCCAACCTCAAAATGATTTATTAGTAATTAATACTAAACTTAAGCAGAAATATGTAAAATAAAGAATACAAAAAATCTAAAATTTGTTTAAAAAATATACCTTATGAAATGCCATCTAGATAGGTACTCATTTTTTTTTCATAGTACACTTATGTTCATAATGCGATGTGCATATCATCATTGATTATGTTATGATTGTATGAATGTCTTCTTTTGCATTAATGTTAATCTGAAGAGCACATGTACGCATGTTCATTGACTTATGTGTTTTGTGCTGAGATGAAGGTATTGTAAAGCACCCAGAACTGTATTGTATAGGAGTGGGGTCGTTTTAAAAGTCGTCTGAATTATTATTACTATTATTATTATTATTATTATTATTAACATCATTATTATTTTTTTAAAAGAAATTAAACAAGAAAATCATGACATACCTCCAGCAGCTGAGTCACTAGTCGGAGCATTTATACTGTTTTTGACATTTACACCAAGTCTTTTCAGAAAGTCACGGTAGTTGACCAGACCTGTGTGATGGAAGTCGTACCGCAACCACAGCCTGAAAAGAGCAAGAAAGAGGAACTCTTAACATCTAGCACTTTCACCTTAAATAAATGTTACATAGAGTCACAAGAGTCTTTAGAAGCATTAATTGCACATCATTTAATATAATTCTGTGTCTTTTTATAAAGAGAAGTTAAAGTAATAGTTATACAGTCTATACTCCTTCTGATAAAGAAAACTATTAACTATAGTACTTCAAAAAAGTTAAATAGATGTTCCTATTCCTGCTAAATTACCATCTCAGTTCTTCAGGGGAACATAAAGGAGATCACATACCTTGAGCCAGCCTAAACAAGCCTTGTCTAGTCAGTTTTACAACCACAGTGACACTATCGTACAGCATTTCTATACAAACATAACACGCTTGCACGTTTCGTGATTTTCAGAAAAATCCATTTAAAGAAGATGTGGATATGCTAGAGGTTCAAAGAAAACCTTTCTGACTCTGCCAATGAGCATCTCTTGGTTAGCAAAACATAATATTATTTGGGGTTTTTAAAGTACTAAAACACTGAGTAGTAATGCACATATGAGATACAATTGACTTGACTTCGGAGGGTTTATTAAGACTAGAGGAACTTTTTCTTTTTTAAGTGCCAGCAAAACTCTCCAAAAGCTAGTTCACAATGAATGTTCTACAACAACAACAAAAAACATGGAAGAGCCTTACTCCTGACAGAGTCACTTGGAGATCAGCAGTCCCAGTGGACAGCAGGCCATAAGAGGCATCGCAAATTAATAATGATGAATCCAAGAGACAAGACTGCAAGTTGCACACATCCACAAGTGGATATGAAGCTTTTAAAAACTCAAAATGTGACAAACACTTTTCTGCCAGAATTGGTCTCACTGGCTACAGCAGAAACCATGAGTCATGATAATCCTTATGTCTTCTGTTTCACTAAAAAATATTCTCTTCTATAGATGTAATGGTCATTGTCAGAGATTGATGGATGAACTATTATTAATTTAACAAAGATAAAGAAAAAAATCTTCTCTGCCTGCCATTAGCTACTCACTTATCAAACTGCTGATCTGTGAACTTGAAGCAATAGTTCTCCAGTACTCGTCTCAGCTCATGGCGTTGGATCTTCCCATCCATGTTGTAGTCAAAAAGCTGTAAGCCTCGAACTACAGACCTTAGGTTGCCATTGACCTGAACAAAACAAAAAATTGGTTCTTACTTGTAGGCCTACACTTCAGCTGAATAGTAAGTGAAATTCAAACCTAATCGGAAAACTCTCTGTTACAAGATGTTGAGAAAAAAAAGAAAAAGAAAAAAGAGAAATTGAAGAGATGCCACAGAAGGTCTAATTTATGGGTGTTTTTTTTAACAAATTGAGAAAAAAAATTCCAACGTCAAAATGAGGAAAATGACTATGAAAATCTCTAAAACCTGAGAAAAAACTAGAACCCTCTCACCAGGGCAGTGCTACTGACTGAAGTTGTCGTTAGGCCATTCCCAAAGGGGGGATATTAACATGTTCCTATGGATGATTTATCAATGTCATGTTCATACTGTGCTGGAACAATATAGGGGGAACTGCTGCTTTTTCTTTCCGCATCTTTACTATCCTCATTTTTCTTCTACTTATTGTATGTTTGTCACTCTCTTGTGAGCTGCTATTTCCGGGGTGCCTTTATAGTCCAAGTAGACTTTGTGCTGTTGAGGCTAGAGAGGTGAGCAGAGTAAGTCTGATTCCCAGCTTGGACTTCTCTGTTGACATCCACCCCTTGGCGATCATATGACTTTATGTAGTTGCGAGCGACGTAAAACCTTACTAAAACTAACTAAACTAGAAATCAAATAGAATTTCTTTCAAACTTTAAACGATGAAAAGACAATGTTATATGTGAGCCTCCCCCATCCCATAATAACTTGCATCCTTGAAGCATTCTATGCTGTCAAAAGCATAAAAAAAACAAGAACACAAAAGACGCATTCAAAAGACCACATTTTAGATAAACGTCCGCTTCTATATGAAACAATTTTTTTAAGCTTCTTTATTCAATTCTTCTATTTTTTAATTTTATCAGCTTCCAGTAATTGATTTTTAGAGGTAGATTTACACTTCCTTAGCATAAAAAAAACACTGCTTGATTAACAAGATAAAATTTGTTAAGGAAAATAGATAATCAAAGGCTCAAAAGCATAAAATATGTGTATGCCAATTTACCCTGTCTCTGAGAAGTTTCTCTATCATGTCCATATTAACTTCTCGTGGCGCTGGAGGACCAGACCTGTGGAAGCACAGATAGGCCTATGGTCATAAAAGTAGAAAATTTACATTCCTGAAAACAGAAATTATTATCTCAATTATAACCACAAAAGAACAAGGAAAAATTAATATTGAAGCTATAAAAGCATTTTTAGGAGAATATCCAACTGATTAAGAATGCCAAATCACTTTGATTGGGACTTTACATCATTTCAAACAATCACAATTTATTCTACCCTATGTTATGTCAAAAATTCTCAACTTTGAACATACAGTGAATACTTTGACAGTTCCATCCACCCCTTTCTTCCTTAATCTGAGATAACTGACCATTGGTAGGAACAATATTTATCAATTTTTTCAATCTTTAGGTGTGCATCATTTTTATTTGGCCTTGTTTTCTAACAACCACTAGCAATAAAACCATTGCCAGGTAGGGCCAATCAAACAAAAAACACACCACTATACAGCAGGCCTATCATTCTAAATGCCAGTGAGAAAAAGAATGGAGAAATGATCCATTCTAAGAAACATCTGTTCATATTAGTTAATGAATAGCCTCTATCATATTCATCCTACGTAAGCATTTGACGTCCTGAGAGAACATATTATATTACCTGACGCTTCTCATTTTGTTACTGGCATCTCCACCATAGAATTTTGTGAGAAAATCCACATACTTGACAACGGTACCACCTTTTACGCAATCGATCTGTGGCCAAAAACAAAACAATGTTCATTTGAAATTAGAAGAAATAAAAGAACTGACACCATTACAAATCAGAATTACATTATTCTCCACCTTGTTGCACAATTTCTTATATAAGTAATCTCCCCCCCTGCACACACACACGCACACACACAACATCCACAAAAAGTATTTCCTAGCAAGACTTTCAAGGTGCCTTAATTGAAGGCTTCGTAGGCAATTGGAAGTCTCTATCCATCACAACATCAGGTCCATTCTGAAAAGGATGAGGCACTTTTTGTGGTGATATTGACACAAATGCTCAAGGTATTTTGAGCACTCTAAACTAAAATTAACTACCACTTAGAATCAGTTAGATCAAATATATCATGGAATCAAGCTCAAAAACATTTTAAAAAGTCAGTTTCAAAGAACGATAGGTTCTTTTTTCACAGACAAAATAAAAAAAGACACTGAAAATCAGCATGTAAGCAAAAATTCTAAGGATTGTGGGACTCTCCTTTACTTTTACAATTCACTTGTATCCACTCTCTTATTCCCAAACCAAGACATTATCACTCACCTTAGCAACAACACCATCAAACTGCTCTGTGGTGAGGGGTAAACAGTAGGATTCTAACACCCTTCGAAACTCTCCCTTGGTGACTGTTTCATTTTCATCAACGTCGTACATTTTGAAGGCCTTGAAAAAAAATTCAAATAGATTGTTTGAAATCAATTGCTGAATAGAGAGATTATGACTTTCTCTAGTTTGACGTTGAAATAGAAAATGAATCATTTGACTGTATGAAGGATAAACAGAAAAAAAACAACAGAAAGCAGCAGAGAATTATGAATAATCATAGCGCATTGAGGGAAATTCTCTCAAATTAAGTTTATAAAAATGACTGAAAAATGCGACAGAAAATGCACACAAAAAAATGTTACTATATTATATCCTTTTTGAATCTTGACTTTAATGAATATATGTGTCAGAGGCTATTTAATTGACTCCTAGAATTATGATGAAGCAATAAAGCACACAGGCATAAATACCATCTTTGGGGTGTGGAAAAAAACAAAAAATTATTAGGCCTGATAGAAAGGACTCACTGCTGAGAAAACAGAAAAGTCTACAGTAATTAAAACACAGGTGTCAAATTCAAGACCAGTGGGCTACATCCAGCTCCCTTGAACGCTTATATCCCACCTGCGAGAGAACTTTAGAACTATGTTGTCCATCCTGTGAATCTCACAACACAGAACCTAACTCCAAACATAATCAAGCGTGTTGCCAAGAAAAGAAGCCAAACACCCAGCTCTGACAAATTTTGGCATAAAATAAGAGTAAAAATTGGTATTACTTGATTCATTATCATTTCAAAATTTGTCTGATATAATTTCTATGGTTGTATATAAAAGGTGAAGTTTTCCATTGCTCCGTGAGTGTTTATCCAGTTTGGTCCACAATCTGAAGAGTAATTAGGGTTTGGCCCTCTGAGCAATAGAGTGTAACACCTCTGGTTTAATACTATATCCAATCACGCGCCGCGCAGAGGGCGCAAAACTTTTTATCCCCACGGACAAGGATACTGATGCGGTACTCGCTATATGACACCGTCCCGAGTGGGCAAAAAGCTAAAGAAGAGTTTCAAACAGCTGTAAATATTTGACAATCACAAACAAATATCCTGACTACAAGCCTCTGGAGCAATATTACCGTAGGCTGACAAAACGCTTGTGTTTTATTCACAGCTGTTTCGAGATAAAGAGGCTTTTTGAATTCCAATTTATTCAAAAACTGGTCACAGTTTCACTTTGATTTTTCCACACAAGTGTGATAACTGATCAGGCTTTCGATTCAGCAAATTCGACAATTCGACAGCAAAAATGAAAATGGCGTTTTGTCAGCTGACGGCAGAATACAGATACACAGATGTAAAAGTGATACAGACACACAGATGTAGAAGTGATACAGACACTGATGTATAAGTGATACAGACACTGATGTATAAGTGATACAGACACTGCTGTATAAGTGATACAGACACTGATGTATAAGTGATACAGACACACTGATGTATAAGTGAAACAGACACTCATGTATAAGTGATACAGACACTGATGTATTAGTGATACAGACACTGATGTATAAGCAATACAAACACACAGATGTAGAAGTGATAAGGACAGGCAGATTTGGAAGTGATACAGACACAGAGTAGAAGTGATACAGACACAGAGTAGAAGTGATACAGACACACAGATGCAGAAGTGATACAGACATGCAGATGTAGAACAGAAACACAGATGTAGAAATGATACAGACATGCAAAAGTAGAAATGATACAGACATGCAGAAGTAGAAGTGATAGGCCTACAGACACATAGATTCACTCATGCACAAAAATTAATGTAGGCTACATGTGAGAGTACCCTACCTGTCTCAGATTGTCAAACTTGCTCCGAACTTTCTCTCTAAGAGCGGCCTCAACTTCAATGACAGACATTTTCGGTTGAGATGTTGCCACAACAACTTCGCCTCCTTCACCTGCTAAGTGACCTGAAGAAGCTGTGAAGACAAGCATGGAATTAGCATTGATAGATGCAATCGGAATGTAATGTTTCAATTTCCTTGTCTTGCTACACCCTATTTGGAATGAAATCTCATACTCTTAGTAGCCTACATTGCAAGGAGCCACTATAATACACTATTTGGGCTCTTTGAAGTTAAAATAGTTAGGATTTTAGCCCCATTTTTTGGTGCATTTATTGATCAAGGAAAAAAATACTTTCAAACAGGCTGATAGGCTTCAAAGTGCGGAACGAATGCTTCGAGAACATTCATTCCAAGTAAGATGCAGAAGACCACAAAAGCTGAACTTACTTTTTTAAGAAAAAAAAATAATGCGACACTACAAAAGAGAAATCGCATGTTATAGTAAGGTGGGCTTAAACTTTTGGCAACACCTGTAACACAAATGTCAGCATCCTATTTTTTTTAAAAATCATAATGGCAGGACACCCATCCCCCCACCCCCAAGCAATCATTGAATTTTTATCAATGTGTCTCACTTAAGATCAAACAAATGTTTTTCATACTTAAAAATCTTCACCACTGGGAGATTCTATAAAATGAAGTGATATAAATTTACACCCTTTATGGAGCAAGCAAGAAGCAGAGTGCAGAGTTAAAGGTCAGGAATTTAACAGAGCAGGTCAACAACTGTTGGACCAATGGCAACAGCATCAACAATTTACAACAATTACAACAACAACCATGACAAACAATACAGAATACTCAGTATCAGAGATGTCAAACTGCTATCTTGTTCCATTGCTGCCATCTATTCAGAAACAAAAGTCTGATAAACTCATCACATTATGTTCGCTTGTCAGGTGGATTAAGAAATCCTAGCACTAGTTTCAATTAGAGAAAGCAACAATTTACACTCTTTTTTACATTTTTCTCACCTAAACTTCCAATGGAAGAAGCACGTCCTGATCGAGACAAAGGGGATCGACCAATGCTCTCGCGGGTCCGGAGGGCTGCACGGGCTGTGAATTGGACCCCTTGGCTGTCGGGGCGCAAGCTTGGCATGACTTGTGCCATGGTTGTCAACTGTAGGCAGAAACATGAAGAAAAACTAATCTGTGAAATTGCACTGTTATCAACATCCTAAATATTACAAGTGTCCATAGGAGCCTTTCTATATAACTTCAGTTTCCCCCCAGCAACCATGCCAAAAAAATCTCTTCCCTACTGTTCATTCTTGTCCTGACAAAAATGCACAATGACCTGTAGACTAGGCCTACCACCTATCAAAGTAATATATTGTCTAACCATGACCTTAGGTGTCAATAAGTACTTTACCAATTGGGGAATGTTTTTAAAGAACATAATCTTATTGGATCTGATTATTAACTGAAATAAATTATTGTGTCCAACATCACTTTCTTAGTATATAGGGCCTATATAGACTCTATATGCGCTTTCTCCGCTATTGTTCTGACACTAAAGAATGAAATCCAAGTTTGATTTCAATTTGAAAACATACACTATGAGTCTAATACGAGTCTTTGTAAAACCATTGGCTCTATAATTAACACAGACCAATAGACCAAAGTTCATAATCAATTCTACAGTTTTATTGATGTTTTAATACACACAAAGTTTATGTTTGCAACAACAACAAACAAAGAAGAAATTAAAAGAAAAAACATAATCTCATTCAATTTGTATATAGGTTTTTACTAATTATGGTTTAACAGTGAGTTGGGAACTCAAAAACACATCACATCTCACTCGACGTTAGATCAAAAGAAAACTTTATTTATTGTATTTTATGATTATTATTTTTTTCGAATCTGCAGGCAATATGGAAAAAATCACGGACAAATCCCACTAGAAAGCTGTCACATCAATGATGCACGATGTTTCCAAGGGTGCTTACCGTTAATCAAGTATGAGATTAGCTCTACAAAAATTGTCTCATTAATTTTTCACTAAGCAGTGTCCATCGTATTGCTCGCCATTTGTCGCCTCGACAGTCGGCAGACTAGGGTCGTTGCCATGTGCCGCTATTTTGTTGTCAATGGCTGGGGCGCTACTGTATACAAGGGAGATTAGGCTAATCATTTGGTTATCGCGGAATGGATTCTCTGAGACTGACAACAAAACTTTGAAAAGAGAGTATAGTCTGTTCTTTCAATGTAAATTTGTTTATAAGAAATTTTTAATTTATGTTCAATCAATAAATATATTCTGAACATGAGCTTGGGATCGAAATGGAGCTATCTATTCGGTTGTAAAAGCATGAACATCTGGCGCGCCATGAGACCACCGCCCACTAGCCACTTCCTGCACGAGAAGTGAAAAATGGAATTAATGTTTATAGTAGCAACAAAATGGCGTACGTTGTACTGTGATCATAACGTGCAGTAGACCATACTACTAGGTTATGTGTCTGATATTTCGATGGAGGATTCTGTTTCAATGACAGGTTTGTGTCAGAATGATGATAATATGTACCTGATTATATATAGATTCTAGATCTACACTTTAAATGTGTATCCTTGTAACGGTAATATTATTTCCAAGACTTGAAGACTGCAGGAGTCGTGTAGGCCTATCCTAGTTAGGCCTATTATAGGCCTATAATAGCCGTCATAGAAAGAAGCCTCAAATCGTACTGTTTAATTTTAGTTTAGTCTTGAGTTACCGGGTCCAATTTCAGACCAATGGGAGTGATGTGGACCAAATATTCCATACCGTTCGTTTCTGAAACATGCAAAGGCTGGCAGTTATTACAAATCTTTTATAAAATCTTGGATGGCGGAAGCAGAAGATTCACTAAAAAAAATCTGTTTACCTGAGAGCCTACCACATGGCGAAGAATGGAAACAGATGGCTGGAGAATACAGGGACCTCACCAAGGTCAAAATAAGCATGCAGAGACAGAAAAAAAGTTAACCATCAACGAAAGCGGAGATTGTTGACTGAAACTCAAAAGCAGGGGACCCTGTAATTTATACAGATGGTTCAGTGAAAAGAGATAGCCAGCGAAGTGGATGGGGATTTGTTGCATTTGCCAACAATAAAATCATACACAGTGCATCTGGAGCCTGCAGCAGCTGGGCTACATCAAGTATGCGAATGGAAATTGAAGCCATCACTAAATAAAGCACTTGTTTGGATGACCCAAGATCGCCCCCACACAACCCATGCTGTTCTTATCACCGATTCCATGTGTACCCTCAGAAGGATCGAAAAAGGTTTCCTTAGAACTGAATGGATTTAAATTATCGAAGCAACGCCTATAAAATCGCTCACATGGATTTTCTGCCCTGGACATGCAGGTGTTAGGGGAAATGAAACAACCAACAGATTGGCTGGTGAGGCCACCTCAGTTGACAGCATGGTTCGACCAGGTAGGGTCGAGATCCTTAAATGTCTCTCTCGCCAGCTGATTGAGGAGGAAGAGAGGGAGGCAGAGGCCAGTACTGCCGTCGAGAGGATGATGCTTTTGGGAATACAGAAAGGAAGCGGAAAATCTGGCATCCTTGAAGGAAAGAACAGAGGAACGTTCAACCAGATATGCACTGGCACAATCAGTGGAAAGACCTTCGGAGAGAGCAATGGAGCATAGATGGACATTTCCGGAATGCAGGGATGTTGCTTCCTGAAACAATGAACAATGAACAATATGGTTATAGCAGGGCCTTAATTCTGGGTTTTATTTTGGTTTCTCTGAGGGTTTTTATGATAAGAGATCTAAATCTAGATCTAATTCAAAATTGACGGAGAGTAGAGAGACCTTGCATTTTTAACATAGTTCCATTCATGACCATTTGTTTTGTCAGAAGTGCATGGCTAATTTTAAAAAATGAATGAGTAGGCCTAAGGCTGAAGATAAAATGTTTGGTATGAAAAACTGTCAGCTGTCAGAGCTGTTGATACTGTTGATACTCATGCAGAAACTGCACACAATAAGTTAAGTTGCTGAACTGATATTTAGTAAAGGTCTGATCTTTTGACCCTAGCTGGTGCTTCCAGTAACCTTTACCTACTTGGGATGGCCACCTGTACCCTTTTTTTGCTCAATTTAACTGGTGTTGCATTGTGTGAACGCTTACAATTCACAGAAAACAGTCCTTAGGCCTATAGCCTAATTATCTTGAAATTTTCAAACCAATCAAACAAAAAGGAGCCGTTCCCATCAAGAGAAGTTCTGAAGCCTCTGTATGAATGAGTAAATAAGTTTCAAGATGTATTATCACTTGCTCTTTATAATTGCCTGCCTGTTCAATTTAAAAAATATTCTCTGAGCCTACCTACTTTCTGTCCCCCTCCCCCTTTCCGCCTGTAGCCTCCTGAACATGAGGACTCCTTTGTATTAGGATTGTACATATTTCAATTCCCTCAAAGACAAAAGTGTAGATACACCACTGAAAAAATATCTGAAACTAGCATTATATATTGATCGACAATAAATTTTCAACAGGATGATTTTGGGGATCAGGAAAGCTACTGATTTCCATAACTTTTTAGCGGAGTATTTCATGTGTTTACAATGACGACCCACAAAACATAATTTTTTAAATAGCCATTGACAGTCCCAAGAATGTATCGGCGCACCAGGAAATACAGAAATATTTGACATCAATAGTAACTTAAAATTGTAGAACATTAAGTTTGAGAATGCAGCTATATATCAAGTCTTCTTGAAACTCAAATTTTACAACGGAAAAAGTTCCCTGACACTCAGTCATTTTCTTGAAATGTTTAATTCAAGTATCCCCCCCCCCCCTCCCGCACCCTTTTACCAATATATATATAGTCAGTCAGGTATGTTCTTTGCAAAGCTGAATGTGTTCTTTTCCTTCCAGGACTGCCGCTTTTGAGAGTTTGATGTTTTCAGCTGAGCTGGGCAGAAAATTGTGATACTTATTCTTCAATTTCCTTGGAACTGACGACGACTGCAACAGATTTAATGGATAATGATGTAAGTATTAGAATGGTTTTAAAAACAAATCTTACAACAGATAAATAGCGCTTTATTTTATTATGTTTTGGAGTTCCTGAGTGGCAGCGTTTAACCTGTTGGCACAATAGTGGTCACATTTTATTGAAACAAATTTTACTTGACTACGATAGTTGAAGTAATGACGGAAAAAAAGTAAATCGTTAAAGTGGAGACTGTAGTGTTGTTCCCATGAAAGAACTTTCACTTTTTATTGTGTCAGATGGGGCGTTACTTACCTCAACTTCTGATAGGATAAGATAAGACTTGATAATATTTTATTGGTCTCCACAAAAAGAATTCGCTGCGCAGTGTTAAATACATACACCCGCTCAAAGACACAAACACACACACATACACACACGCACACACACTCACACACAAACGCATACACACTCACTAACACACACACTCACACAAACACACACACACACACACATCAACATACTCACGAACACACACACACATACTTACATACACAAATGCACTCGCAATAGTAGTCACTTATTGACAAGATTTACAACTGTTACCATAGCTGTCATTTTCATTTTTACATTTACCAAAGATTCTTTTTTGTTCCAATATATCCTGTTCCAGAATCCTATTGCTAAGCTCCAGATGGAGCAGCTGTACAACCAGTATGTGCAGGAACAGATGGATCTCAACATCCCATCCACAGATATTGCTTCGTAAGTATTTGGAAGACAGGCATTACTGTATAAATCATATGTTGGAAAGGGTGACAGTGATAAGAATTTGAGGACAACAGTCGAAATTGTCCATCAATGTATGCTTCCTGGGAAGCTGAGATTGTTTCGGAGTGTTCCATAGTCTGCTGGGGTAATAATATAGTGTAAAGCGCATAGAGCCTGCTGTTGAACGGGGATATGCGCTATGCAAATGCTATTTATTATTATTACCAAAACAGCCACCCACTGTTGAGTAGAAAAGTGGTTGTCTTAGACAAGTGGACATCTCAAACAGTGTCATTATAAAATAGCAAAATGCAAACGGAGATATTGTGGGAAGGGATCGTTTGTACAGGTGAAGATGACCGTTACAGCACATTCGACTATTATTCTCTTCCCCTTTTGAATTGTTTGAAGTTGAGGTGGCATACCACTCTGGTGGTGGTGAACAGTGGAACAGAGGCTGCAGGTGAAGTTATTGGAATTTTAATCATTGCACACTTTGGGTGTTGTGTTTTTTTAAGGCCATCTGCGGGGGAAATTTTCCCCATGTTTACCTAGTTTGACCATGCAATTTTTTACCTCCATTTTTGAAACCTACATCCATTTCCCTCAAAGTTTCAAGCGCCCGCTTCAATATCAATTATATCTAGAAGTCATCAAAAAATAGGTTTTTAAAAAAATGATTGGCAATTTTGCGTAATGTATTTTCTTCATTTTTTTCGAACATTTGTTTTTCCGATTTTAAATTACATCTTCTCCTTTACTTCTGAATAGCTTCATTTTTTACACTATGTACATTCATAGATAAACTTTACTGAAATAGTGCCATTTTTTAAGATAATAAGAAAATAAAATCACAGTCAGTGTTTTTGTTGGAAATTTTGAGGTTTTTTGCTGTTTGTCCATAGTACATATTTTCAGAGTCCATAATTATTTTTATAATCGTAATATTACAGATCTTGCTTTATTTGTTCATTACATATGTGTTGTAGTAAGTACTTGCTAAATATGAAAGCCGATGGATGAAAACTAAGAGAGAAGATAGCTTTTGAAATTTGATGGAATTATCCAATATGGTGGACGTTTGCTTGGCTACCATATTATGGTTACCATGTCCTTGTAATAATAAATAATTACTTGTATTTATTCTTTGGTGTCTGACTAATATATAAATATATCATCGTTGCTATATTTAGTCAATTTAGAAATTTCACCGGCAGATGGCCTAAACCATAATAGAATATAAAGTTGTGTTCACGGTACCATAGTTTCAACTTAAAAATAATTTTTTTAAACCGCTGCCATTTGTCTTCATGCACAAAGCCCCTTTCTTCATTTTTGTGACATCATTTTTCAAGGGTGTACTAGAAGCTTGATTTCAGTAGCCTCTGTATTATACTATTCGTAAAAATAACATTAAAAAAGAAAGAAATGCCTCATTTCCTTGATAACACAAAAGGCAGGTGATGTTAACTTGTGATCTAAAGATGTAATTCTCTTTAATGTCGTGTTCCAGGTTTGGCTACTTTTGCTCCCACTTAGCTCCAACCTGGAGGCCAGGTCAGTATAAGAGACGCCAGCAGCCCGAGAATGTTCCAGAAGGCCATGGACCATCAGTTTCCCTCCCACAACTCCGTGATCAAGATGGTGGGGAGTCTCCCGCTAACAGAGAATTGTCGATGGCGTCCGAGTCGAGTTTTCTCCAGTCCTCCAGGATAAAAAGTGAGGCTGATGCAGCTGTGATTATACAAAGAGTGTGGAGGAGACACATTGTGAGTTAACTTTTCTTTCTTTTTTTTTCTGTTAATTATTCTTTCCCTTTGCCCAATCCGATCAAAATGACATCATCTGTTAAGTGTAATGTTGTTCACGTGATGTGTTAAATATAGTCAATACAAAGTTAGGATAAGGTAAATCTTGTAGATGGTCGACTGGACATTGTTACTTTTTACAGCTATGATCCACTTTTTCCAAGATGGTAGGCCAAAATTCTTCATGTGAAGGGTAGGTTCAGGATAGTTATCAGAATCGTATTGAGGACATCACTATGATATCATATACACTAGCAGCAATAATAATAGTGTAAATGGTTGTATGAGTAGTAATACTAATACTGATGATGATGATGATGATGATGATGATGATGATGATGATGATGATGATGATGATGATGATGCTGAATGAGTTACCTTTTCTACTTGGGATGGTGGTGACTCATAGATGAAATATGACACATCATTCATTTTCATTGTTTCATACAGTGGAATCCTGTTATAACGAGAGGGAGGGGACCGGTGCGAAATGTTTGTAATAGCAGGATTCTCGTTACAAGGGATCCAGTAATAAATTCAAGGGAAATAGTAAAGTAGGCCTAATCTATGAGTTTGGCGTTCTGTTTATTCCTTTTTGTATTTCCCCTGATGATGATTTGTTCAACATGATCTCAAGGTCTTACTTGATCAAAAATCGAATCAGGTTTCTTTCTCTGGCACTAGCAATGTTGACAAATCGGCCTTGGCGATCAGAAAGAAGGGGCTCTGGCTCTAGGCTAACTCGCCCGCAGTGTTGTCCCCCACCCCACCACACACTGTGGTGCGTTGCGTCTGCTCGCGCACGTCACACATTCACTCCATCCATCTATCACAGACTTGTGACCTCTCCATCCTGCACCAGAGAAGTGAGACGCACGGTATGCCGAGATAATCTAGACTGGGCTGGCCTATCACGCGATGCGTTCTACTTGTGTCTCCGCAAGCCACACCCTCCCCACTCATTCGCTCCGGCCTTCATTGTTGGTTCGCGTGGGCGCTCCCATTCTTTGTTTCACTGGATCACCGACAACTTTCTTAACTGGCAAGGTTTTATAATAATGTTTAATTGGTCTGTGCGCTGTGCACAGCAGCAGCAATATTCCATTATAAACGACTCGCGTGATGGTCTGATTGCGCAATAGCAGTATTTTATTTACAAAGATAAAGAAGCAAAAAAACCAGGGTTTTAGAACAGTGTCTTTATAACAGACTTCTCGTTGTTTCAGGACTCGTTATAAGTGGACTTCACTGTACAAGGGTCACGTGATATAGATGACCTTGTTTCTTTTCAAATGCACTTCTACCCACTGACGATGAACACCCAAAATTCATCTCACTACTGTGACGTCTAAATGTAGAACGCACATTTTTGATCGTCTTAGTTTTATTCAGATTGCGGCGAAAACTGTATATGTGTGTGTGTGTGTGTGTGTGTGTGTGTGTGTGTGTGTGTGTGTGTGTGTGTGTGTGTTTGTACTTATGTGTGTGTGTGTATTTGTAGGTATGCATGTGCATGCATGCACACACACCCATATCCATACCACACTCTGTACTTGCCTTATTATTCTGAAGTTGTTTACCCTGGGTTTGTTTTCTTTTCCCAAGTTATCAGTGGCTGTCTATAACATGCTGTCTTTGCTATAATTTATCCTCAGGATATGCAAGTGTACAAGTACTACAGAGATCTGATCAATTTCAAGACACGAGGAAACCCTGGTGTGATGCTGAGGTGCATTAACCCAAATGAGGCCAAACTGCTGGATGCGGCTGCTGGCATCAACATCAGGTTCAGACTTGCAGGGGTGAGTTGGGGTCTGTGCCCCAAGTGTTTTCTGTTTGAGCATAGATACCGTACTTGTTCCTGTTGGAGAGCAATGTGGAGGATGGGAATTAATGAAGATTATGAATAGGCTTTGAATCTTACCAGGTGCATCCATCTACATTATTTGATATGTTATTGTGCTATGGAACAAGTAACAGCTGGATTTTTGCTCTTCTGCCTTATGCTATGTAAGCAAATGTGTAGGTTTGCTGCAATTGCTGTGATGTTCTTTAGAGCGTGTTTTCAGTATTGAGTCTCAGATGGAGAAGTGTAGCTCTGGTGTAATTAATTTAGGCTTGGCAGTAGAACAGGTGATGATCAACAGTAATACGTACCTGGTATATTATATGGCTCCAAATTTGCAGCACTGTAAACAATATTTAAGAGTAGTGCCTTTGATTTTAAAATCTATCTCTTCTTAGACCAAGCTAAGTGTGTGGAGAGCCTTGACAGTCCACTAACAACAAGTTCAGGAATGCCCTTGAAGGGATTTAGCTCAGGCTGTGTAATCCATATTTGTACCAACTGAGCAGCTGACACACCCTATTTCTAAAAAAATATGAGTATTTTTACACCTTGATAGACGCAATTTAGTTAATTTAGGAGGAAGATTTGAACCATGTCAAAGCCAACCCAGGCTGAAAGGGATACAACATCCAAGCTGAGAGACTTAGATACTTGAAAAGAATTCTCACCACTTAAGAATCAGACTTGGGTGGCCTGCAGCAATAGTGAATTACCTAACTCCTGTCCCGAAGATACCAGTACACCCTTTAACACTTTGCCATCACAAGGCTCATATATAGTAAAAATTCTTGCCGTCAAAGGCAAAGGTATTTTTAGGGAAAATCCAAAGAAACTGGGTTATTAAACGTCGCTGATCAGTGAGATGTGATGGCGAAGTGTTAATACCTGGGGTGGTACTGATATATTTTCTGTTTGTATACACACGAGATCATCATACATTGCAAAACAAGCAGTATAAGAGAACTGGATGTTGGTTTATGTTTACATTAGAAGTCCAGTGCTATCCTCTTGAGCCAAATACCTAGCTTGATGCTGGGACTGCATTAAAAGCATGGATGCTTGATGGCTTTATCATGTTGCTTGTCTAAGTGTAGGTTGGATTACTGTTAATTTTTGGATGGTGATAAAAATCTTAAAGGTTTCTTGTGCATTTTAGAGACACTTTGGCAGTGGAAAGCTGAAGAGGAACAGATGTTTCATAATTCACAAATAATACTTAGTATTTGTATTGATCAGTATAGAGGACTGTTAAGATTCAGTTAAGTTGCACTGTGAGTCTAAGCACCTACAGCTAGCTCTGACAAAGGTATTGTGGCAAACTCAGGAGAAGACAAACAAAATGGTTATCTAGTTCTTCCTGTAAAATGATTACAAAGTAGTATGTGTCCCTTGGGTCAGTGTCTCAGGACAGTATCTTTTGAGTGCTTTAGCTGCTAGAGTGAAGCTCAAAAACTGGAATGTGCATTGACTTTGCCGTCTAATGAGCATTTTGTGAGAGGTACAAAACACATGGCATTTTTCTTCTTTTTTGGGGGGGTCTTTTTGATATTAGAATTTGTTTGGTGCATGAGTCTCAGCCTTGGCTAGCAAGTGGTCTAATACTTAAGACTGATAGGAAGAAGAACTTTTTGTAAAGCCAAACTTGCTATTACCCCAAAGCTGACACTGTAATGATGCTGGTCTATGATAGCTGTAAAATGATTCATGATATACTCTTCAATCCTCAGGCAAGATTTCCCCCGAATATCTACTACAAAATATTCACAAATAGACCAGTGCAGGACATGTGTGCCAACAGCCCAAAAGATTACACAAAGTCTGAATCAAAACGTCTGACAGTGAAGGACACTCACAGTAATGTTAGAGTGAAGGATGTTCCAAATGATGGTACGTACCCGATGTTGATGATAAATTTTATCAAGTGTAAGAAATAATTGGTTTTGTGTTCTGTAGTAGCCGTATGAAAATTGATTTGTAATTTTATCTGTCTCTAAATTACTCAAAGTGAAAGAAAAGTATTCATGTTTGATATGCATCTCTTTCCTCAAGCCAATGAACTGTTTCCGTTGTGCAGATCAGGACGGCTGGTACAAGAGAGTAGAAAACAACGGCTGGCGTCTAGTGTCCGACCGACTCATACATCACATCATGAACGACCCCATCACCTGGGAGACGTCCAACAAAGAGTATAAATTTGACCACAATCGGGTAAGTGATTCTTTGTGCGTTAAGAAAGCAAGAGCATTATGTCCTAAGATAAGATGAAAATAAAATTGTACTTTATTGTCCCTGTGGGACATTTTTTTGTAGCTTTACAGAAATTGCAAAAACACAGGAAGAATACAAAGAATTCAAATTGCACACTACTTTCATAAGATAGTTTCAATATAAAGAAAGAGTAAAAGCCAGCAATAATACAATATATCACCTTAGACAGACTTCTCAAACCACATGCAGCCTTACAATTCCTGAGAATTTTGTAAAAGTATTTGTACGAAGTTTTTTAATTTGGGTTATTTTGATAATTTTCTCAACTTATCTGGCTAGCTAGTGGCTGAGTTGTATCAGGGATGGACGTTGAGTCCAGAAGTCCCACCTCTTGAATAACTCTCTTTGTTTATTTATAGAGATATCAAATCTTTACCCTATCAGAATTAGTATGATAGTTAGTATTTCACAAATAAATAGAATGCCGTTCCTTTTGCTTCTCCAGTATCAGAGGCGTCAAGATGTGGAGAGGAGGAAGAAGCAGAAAAAAATTGAATGGATGCAGAAAATGTAAGGAATTGTCTTGAAGACCCTTATGAACTGAGCCCATGATGAGTAATGAGTTATGGACTCATGATTATTGTTTATCGTTAAGGAAAGTGACACTTGGTGACTCCAAATGTAAACATGCACACACTGACATAGTCTCTCCCCCACTGTCTGTCTGTCTGTCTGCCTGTCCCTCTGGCTCTCTCTCTCTCTGTCTCTCCCTCTGGCTCTCTTTCTCTCTCTCTCTC